GTGTGTGTGTGTGTGTGTGTGTGTGTGTGTGTGTGTGTGTGTGTGTGTGTGTGTGTGTGTGTGTGTGTGTGTGTGTGTGTGTGTGTGTGTGTGTGTGTGTGTGTGTGTGTAGAGGGACAATATCACTCAGAAAAAATAATAATTTTGCCACATTGCCTTGGGCATGTTACCTTAAAGATTTAAAACCACAGGAATGGGTAAGAGTGACATATTTGATGGTTTTGAAATGGACTTTTTTTAACCTTGGTCTAACTTAAACCTGAAACCACCTTTTGCCTTTAGGCCCTGTTTACACAATTCAAATCAATTAAATTCAGTTTATTTATATAGCGCCAAATCACAACATAGTTGTCTCAGGGCACTTTACAGAAACATTCACATACACTACAAAAATATTTTCTGTAAATGTCTCTGTTCATATAATTCCATCAAAAAGTGTGAAGTACCCTGTGCTGTGCCACTCGTTGCCAAAAACATCTACGAGTAAATGGGCTGGGAAACAACTGATCATTGTTTTTGAAAAAGCTTCGCATTTACACTTCACACAACTGCAAACATGAGTTTAAAAATTCCACTTTTGAAAGTCTATTTTAAAGACTTTTTTTTTTTTTTTAACATCAAACACTCTGTAATACTGCAGAAAAATCTGTTTAAAAAAATATCCAGAGTTATTTCAATATGCCCTTGTTGGTGTGGTGAATTTTTCATCGTTCATGATTCCAGACATGAATTTCTTCCTACTGTCCCTCTCCTCATTTTCTCCATTTACTGGTATATCCAATTGTTTCATTTCATCTAATTTCTTTTCATGTCCCTGCATGTTTTGTCTTTATTCTTCCTCTGTTCCTCTCAGGACGGTGCTCATCTCTCTAACCTCTGTGGTGGTTCTGGTCATCAGTACCGACTGGATCAGCTGGGACAACCTGAACCGAGGCTTCCTGCCCAGCGACGAGGTCTCCAGAGCCTTCCTAGCCTCCTTCATCTTGGTCTTCGACCTTCTCATTGTCATGCAGGTAGAAAGCTCCCCGGTGGCCAATTAAAAGAAATGGAAGTGCTGGGACACCTCTTGGCTCAACCCTCTACCCATCTTGCCAGTTTCCTTTTTTTCCTATTCATCAATGAGCCATTGCAGCACAAAGCAGCGAAAATGGTGTTTGATCGTTCAGAGTTGGCTTGGGCACAAATTCACACTCACATTTTTCTTTCTTTTCCTCTTTTTTTAATCCTTTCCTCACACCTAGGCCATGTTCCAGTGATTTTTCTCTCCTATGAGTTTATTTTCATAAATGATAATGCCTCACAAGACTGGATTTCATCTCTTTCTCACCAGCCAGCATCCTCCCTCTGACAGTAGTGTGTTCATCAATAAAGCTTCGGTCACTAAATTCATGAATATGCAAATGTATTTGACTGAGCAGTAAAAAAGTATATATAACTATCCCCTAAAGGGAATATGTGGGGAAAATTCTTGTAGTCTGTGCCAGTAGCAATGAGTCAGAACCACAGGCCAGTTGTGTTTGATAGTGAGCACAATTTAACTCAGAAATTCAAATCCATAATGAACCTGTTTTATTTGGCTTTGTTAGCAGATATTACAATATGCTGCAAGATCAATAGTTATCACTTAAATAAGGGGTGCCCAGACTTTTTCAGCAAGTCAAAGTGATCTACCTGCTATAAGGCCCCGTTTATACGAGAACAACCTCTGGAAATGTTGGTGTTTTTTCAATATTTATTGGGGGTAAAAACTAAAAAAGTGAGTGGGTTTACAGTACACAAAAACACTGTAGATTCCATGTCAGTCGGGTTGCCAGATAAGACATTATGAACTATAGCACTATGGCTTTAAAATGGTAGTATTTTGACCTAAACTGTCATATATGCTGAATAAATATATTCTAAGATGAGGTGTGTGTTGTGTTTGTTGAATATGTGCACAGACAAGAAGGAGATAAATAAGACATTTAAAATTTATCTGGCAACCCTGTAGGACTCAGCTGCATTCATCACGCATGCAGCATCTACGTGACAGTTACATCCCAACTAGTGGATACACCTACGTCTCTTTGGAACTGGATTTTATTAGTTTTGCTCGTACAGGCTGAAAAAGGGTGAGCAGCACAAAAACACTGCTCTCTGCCATTTATTGTAACGGTTGTTAGAGCAGAAAAATTTTGGACCGCAGCCACCTGTAGTGCACATGTGAGACTTCACACTTGGAGCATTTCATACCTCCATGGGGGGGTTCCCCAAAAATCTCCACTCTAAGACCTGGATTCAGAAACCTTCGGTTTCAGAGAGAATGAGCACGGTTGGCGTGTAAATGAATGGTCTAATGTTTCACGTCAGGTAAACGGGGCCTCAGACTGGCTGCCCTGTATGTCAATCATCTGTATTTCAATTTTTTTTCTCTGACTTGCTCCCGATGAAGATGGACACTTTCTTTCCCTCTCCTGCCTCCCTTCTTTTGCACTTGTCCTATGAATCTTTCTCAGAGCCTCTCTTTACACATCTTCCGAATCGTAAATTATGGATCTGATCAACTGGTCCCTCAATGCAATTGATAAAATTTTCTCAATGAGAAAACATGGTGCAGGGGAACCCTCATGCCCTGAAGGGACACACAACGCGCACATAATTGGATTACGACAAAGGATTATCTGCTTTTTGGAATCAGAGGGTACCTGGGATATCGACAAATTAGGAAGACATCGGCAGCCGTTTTTGGCAATGGTGAGGCTACCTGCCTGTGTGAAGGATTGTACCGTGCTTCGAGCGCTCAGACTCAGATGCTTTGTGAGCCTGGAACTTGCTGGCATGAAGAAATCGACCTTGGAGAAGGCTACAAGCACGGACCAGCAGAATGTCCACAAATCTGGCTGTTTGGATTCACCATTGAGTGTACCAGCAGAACTGAAGGCAGACATGAAATCAGTAGAGTTGTCCTGCCCCAAAACAACTGTTGTTTATGTGAATATGGCTTACCCACTTGGCCTTGGATAGGCCAACTTATCTCAAATTGCGCCTGGAGAATATGTAAATCATGAAGCTCTGCTCCTGCTCCCCACCCAAGAACATCTGTGGACCCTTATCAGAGCTGAGCGGCTGATAGACACTGTGCCATCTTTATCAGGACTATGGAACATTCTGGCAGTGTCCACGGACAACTCACTGCCCTCGTCAGCCTCCTCATGCATAAATGTATTATGACGTCATTACATCTGCTGTTTATGTGCAAGTTTTTTTTTT